CTAATGTCGAGGCGACTTCCTAGCTTGTGTCGGCCCTCAATGCCTCACGCCATTAAAGTCTCTCCAAGAAGATGTTACATGTATTCCTATTTGGCAATTGCTCCATGATAGGCTGCAGAGGGCACACTTCAAGCTGACAAACCTCACTAATCATGCCCGCTCTGAGCTCTCCCATGCAACTTCTCGGCGGCTTGCTATTGAAGTTGAAACGCTATGCTCTTGTTAGGCCTTGACAGATTATGCTAGCATAATTTTTCGCATAATTCCTACCAAAATCGAATAATCGCATAATTCGAGGCAAATTGCATAAATTGGAATAATCCGCCTGTTCGCATCAAATTCGATACAGTTGTACATGTTCTACAAGTACAAGTACAAGTAGATCATACTAGATGCACCAGGAAGTCGTAGGTTTACGACTCCTTTGATAACATGTCCCATCCACTACAATCAGCAGAAAGAACCGAAATTTGACCTGGTAGAGTAGGCAGCAAGTTTTTGACCTCCGAGAATCCGTGGGATTTTTGGGTTTGTTTCTAAAATGTCGAGAGTGTGTTCGATACAGTTAGGGGAGGACCATCCAAGGAACGATCATGCGTTCTACGTAAAGCTGTTGCTGTCTGCTGGAGTAAAACCAGGAGATGTGAAGCAAGTAGATCTAAATGGCCGACGTGGATTCTGCAGAATTACATTTTGCAGCACTGAAGTAAGGGACGATGTTGTGACGAAAGGCCTGCAGGCTAACGGAACGCCTTTGACCTTGGTGGTTGGAGATGGTGCTGTAGTGTCAGTCCATGCTTTTGGCGTGGCTGAAGACGTTTCCCTCCCCTCCATTGTCTCTGCAATCGAGAAATTCGGCACTGTGATCGGCAAACCAAAGCGGGAGGTGAAAACCATTGAAGCCTGTACCTTCACCACTGGAACGGTGTACGTCAGTATAGTACCGACCGTAGCTGTCCCCTCTGTGATTGTCTTGCCTGGCTCACACCAGAGAATCCGTGTATGGCACAAGGGTCAGACCCCAACATGCTATAAGTGTGGGTCAAGCCACCACGTGTCCAGAAATTGCACTCAGCAGATGCAACGGGGCAAGAACTCTGCATCTGGTACGCTGTACTCCAGTATGGTAGGGTCAAGCGCAGGTCAAGCCAACAACTCTGTGCACCACAGCTCTGAACCCCAGCCACCACCTCCAGTACTTAACGTACTTGGCGCCTCGAGTTCATCTACGGATGCAGAGTCAGAGATCTCATCTCGACCTCGTGAACCTTGTACGGACCCAGCACAACCCCACGCGGATCCAAAGGACAAGCAGAGCACTAGGAATATATCGGAACTGTTGCAGCAGGCTCGCAATGAGACCACCAGTCCGAGCAGAACCCCAATGCAGGATATGAACAAATTCTGCAGAGGAAAGACAGCTCACCAGTCACCTGACGCTGAGGGCTTCACCCTGGCTTCTGGGAAACACACCTTCCCAGCACAGTCCAGGACTGCACTGCACAGCACTGAAGGATTTTCTGAAAGTAATGAACTGCCAGTTGGAAATGCAGATTCACAAGAGGATGCAGACAGCAGCCTGGCGAATGTTACAATCGGTGGGATAACCTTTGAGTACTGATTTGATCTTCTTTTACATAATCTATGACAGAGTCAAACCCAACTGCCAGACTCCAACCCACTTTTACAAGAACAGCCATGTCTTCACTTAACCCCCTTGCTGACTCATTTAGTCCGTCAGTTCCACTACCTTCTCCTACCCACCCAAGTGCACTTCGCGTTCTATTTCTCAACATCAGGAGCCTGCGTAACAAACTCAATGACATCCTACTGCTCACACAACAACTCAACGCCCCGGATATAGTCTGTGTCAACGAAACCTGGCTCGACGCCACTGTTTCGGACCAAGAAATAGCCCTGACTGGATATAGTGTAACACGCAGAGACCGTAGTGGTCGAGTAGGAGGAGGAGTTTGCATATACTGGAAGTCATGTCTTCCGGTAAAACCAAGAGACGACATAACAACTGATGGTGTGGAAAGTTGCTGGTGTGAAGTCGCTTGCAAACCCCGCAGTTGTCTTGTTGGAACGATCTACCGCCCTCCATCTGAACCTGTGGGTTACTGGGACAAGCTAGACGAACATCTTTGCGCTGCTCTAAGGCCACTGCCAAATGCTATCGTTTGTGGTGACTTTAATGTGAATATTGACCTAAGTGCCAGGGACCCTCAGTATCATTACTTATCTGACTTGCTGAACAGCTATGCTCTGCATCACGGTGTCAACAAGTCTACGCGATTTAGCTCAACAGGACAAGACAGCACCCTCGATTTGATACTGAACAATTTTGATCCTTCCACTACAGCGAAGATCATCCCGGTCGCTTTCAGTGACCATGCTGCCGTGGCCAGTGACTTTCACCTCATTGTGCCTCGTGGATCTGACACCACACGTTTATACCGCAACTATCACCGGATAAACCACGATCACTTCCGGCGTGACTTAACCCAGAAGAACTTGTGTAGTATTACCGGCAACCCAAGCGCCATGTGGACCGAGTGGTCTAGCCGGTTTATTGAGGTTTTGGATGTCCATGCCCCACTTCAAAGTAATCACAGAACGAAGAAGCCTTCAGTGCCATGGATTGACCGGCAATTGTTGTACTTACTACACAAGCGGAATAGGTTGCACCGAAAGTGGCTCTCTGCTAAGACACAGGAGACTTATGATGAATTTAGTACAGCCAGACGTGCGGCAACTAGCTACAACAGGACCCGGAAACAGGAATTCTACAACTCCAAATTTCAGCAATGTACTGGAAATGCCAGAGAGACTTGGAAAATAATCAAGGAGTTGACAGGCAAACAGTCGACGTACAGGGATCCACAGTGCACGGTGGATGCGATTCGAGACACTTTTTCGAAAGTTGTGGAAGATCCAGCTCGCCCTGCACAGCTACGCCTACCCCTTGGGCCTCCACCTGCGGTGCACTTCTCGGAATTCTTGCCAGTCTCCATTGCAACTACTCGGAAAATGTTGGAACAGTTGGACACCAGAAAAGCCACTGGGAGTGATGATATTCCAGCAAGTCTCCTCCAGATGCATGCTGACATCCTGGCACCGTCACTCACGCTACTATTTAATAAGTCATTGAGAGAAGGACAGTTTCCTGCGGCAATGAAGGTGGGTAAGATACGGCCTCTGTTCAAGGCTGGAGACCCCAGCCAACCCAAGAATTACCGACCAGTCTCCCTATTGCCGATAGTGTCGAAAGTGCTTGAACGTATTGTTCATAAGCAGCTTCTGCAGTACCTCAACACGAACAATTTCTTGCCTACTAGTCAGTTTGGTTACAGACACCAGCATTCCACAGCAGATGCCTTAGCGCTAGCTGTAGAGAACATCAATGAAGCACAAGCCGCTGGGCAGCACACAGGAGTAGCATTTGTCGACATGTCTAAAGCCTTCGACAAGGTAAAGCATAGCATTCTGGTTGAGGACCTCTTTGAACTGGGTCTCACTAGCACTGCTTTGCAATGGTTTTCAGACTACTTGATGTATCGCCGGCAATACGTGGAGACAGGAAAAACCAGAAGTACAACTTATGACAGCCAGTCAGGGGTTCCTCAAGGGTCAGTTCTCGGACCTTTGCTCTTCGTTCTGTATGTGAGGGATATTGCCGGCGACCTTGCCCCTCATGACGTCACCACTATTCAGTTTGCTGATGACATCTCGCTGCGTGCGAGCAGTCCACAGCCAGAAGTTGTCTCCCAGCGCCTCACTGCAGCAGTTCAGTACCTGGCCACTTGGTTGAAGAAACGTGGACTGATCCTTAACGAGACCAAGACGCAGATACTCGCCATACCACACCACAGAGCTGCAGCCCTCGACATCAATGTTGTATGCAATTCACAAGTCCTACCAGTAGTCACATCTGCCAAATACCTTGGCCTGCATTTTGACTCGGACATGAGTTGGACCACAATGGTGGACCATGTTGCTCGTCGTGTTGCCGGCAAAATTGCTGTCCTGCTGCGACATGCTTCCTCGCTGCCGTATCCATGCCGACTCACCTACTTCAGATCTATCGTTTTGCCTGAATTTTTGTATGCTTCTATTAGTTACTACCCGTATTTGACAGTTGCCCAGGAACAACGGCTACATAGGCTGTTCAAACGTGCCGCTCGGGCAGTCTGCAAGTCGCCACCGTGGACCAGTACTGCTCCCCTGCTAAATCGAATGCATGTATGTGATCTACAGGTTTCTGTGCATTTGAATATGTTTTGTTTCATCTGGCGATGTTTGCATGATGCATGTAGCACCCTGTTTGAGTCCTTTTTTGCTGTCGTGCCCTCAACTCGCACTCGGGGAGGCCAAAGCAACTTGCTTGTGGTCCCACCTGCTAGCACTGCTCGTTCTGCTAAGCGCCTAACGCACGCTGGAGCCATTATGTGGAATAGATTGCCACCAGCAGCAAAATGTTCAAATAGGTATTTGGATTTTAAATCTCAAGCCTTGCAGTATATATTATCAGCGACATAGGTTTTCCAATGCTTACTGGATTGATATCTGTTCGTTGCAACCAACCTTCCGTCATTTTTCCTTTCTCTTTTTCTCTTGTATCTACTTTTTTCCACAATATCCTTTAACATGTTATTCACAGTGGGTCCAATGTTATTAGGCATTTTTCCTGTTTTGATTTCCACTATAAATAAAGTATACAACAAAATCAGTGACGGTCGTAGCTTGGTCGGACGGCGCGTTGACCCCGACGAACTTTTGCTACAACAGTACAACGCCCTCTACAAAAAAATTCCCCTGTCATTTTGCATGCACAGAACCATCATATACATGTACACTGTACCTGTACATTTGCAGCATATGTGAGCATAATTTGATAAGTTTTAGCAAAAAAATAGCATAATCCTGCAATTTTTTCAGCAATGCGAAAAGCATAATTTCACGAAAATATTAGCATAATCTGTCAAGGCCTAGCTCTTGTCATGCATGCGGCTAGCGAACATAATCCAAGTGGAAACATGAATCTTGTGGGGTTTCAGTAAACTTTCACTGGACTTTTCTAGCAGTCAATGTCAGCCATACAGCATTGAAAGGATCCCTGTGAGTCGTTCAGCCTCTTTGTGTTGAAATCCGCTACATGTTTGTAGATATATACACAGATGCCTTGCTTGGTAGTTTAACATGTTTTCGCGTCCTCGCCTTGTAACATGCTGTCAAAATCGAAAAACATGTTTGTAGATATAGCTAGAAGTAGGCCTTCAACAGTTCAAGAGAATGAACACCAGAATACTACTCTTGTAATTGTCAGGCATACCCTGTCCACTGTTCCTCACGTCGAAAGTTTACGACCCTACGTAACAGAGCCTGGATTTGTGCTACAAAAAGTAACATACTGTAAGTGTAACCACATGATCATCACCATGCCATGCATACCAGCTCATTATCTGATTATTATCATGGCAAAACCATGAAAACCACGTGCTAGCTATGAGTATGATTGTGTGCACTGTGCATGCGGTGCACGCTGGTGGTGGTCTTTCGGAATTCCGAAACACACAGAAACATACCTACTGTCCATACTGCAGTGTTGTGAGTGTTGATCTACACTACAGACTACACTGCAACTGGGTTGACCTTCCTGACGATACATATATATGTCCATCTAAATACATGTAGCACAGTTTTCAAGAGCTGCAGCCTACAGCCTTACAGGTTGAAGAAGAAATGCATTTCGGTTAGTAGATCTACGTAGAAGGAAGTGGTTGGCATCCGCATCTCAGCATGGCATCGCCATCCGCAGGGTCCGTTCTGGCCAGCAAATCTGTACATTCCCAGAGGGCTCTGGAGATTCAAGGTGAGGAAATCTGTCTGAGCATGAGCATGTGTTTTCCAACGATGTTTCTTCGTATTTCGTATGTGCGTATGGGTTGTGTCCGTACGACAAAAGCGTTTCCTCAATCGTATGCTACCCGCCCGGCAAAGCGAATGCGTGTGGTGATCAGCACAGCAAGCAGGTGAAAGGGAAACCTCTCAATCTCCTACGGTATAGATTGCTGAGCTCTCCTTTTTCTTGTCTCATGGACACAGAAATTGCATTGCCTTTTGTGGCAACTGTGAACGTGGTGTAGTCGTTTGAGTTGGCATGCAAGCTTCACCCAGACAGACCAGGCAACGCAGTAGTGGTGGGAGAGGCGACTCGTTGCGGACTGGCCCACGGCACCATCACTTGGACTTTCGTCAGCATGGAGTTCTGGGGTCTGCCTCATCTGCCAGAGGTGACTTCGCGTTTTTAGCCATGAGGAAACGAGAGACGCCGGTGTCAATGCGATCGTCGAAAGGCAAGTTACTCTCTATGCTTGTCATGTTACACTTGGATGAATTCCACAGTCGCCAGTTTTGAAAGTGGTTATTTTCGTTATGGGTAGAGCTGAGCTGTCTTTTGTCAAGCATTTCGAAAAGTCAACATTGCAATTATTGTACTAGTAGATTAGTTCAAACTCTGATTCATCCCGCCAACCTTGAGCGTCCTATTTGGCTCTCTGGTGCTCTGGCCGAAATGAAGTTGAAGTATGCCTGCTGGTATGCCTTCTCTTCAATGTTTCCGAAATAAAACTCTGCATCTGGCCTGGCGGAACACTTCGATGTAGCAATACAGCAGAAACAGGCTTGAACCCAGCCTTGCGCGCCGAGTTGTCTTCGCCAGCAGCGCGAGCCAAAAGTCCGAAAATAACCGTGCATGTACTTGTGTTGTGTTTGCCTCGCTCGGTCCAGTCTGGATTAGATGCAGGGGTACGTACTTCTCTACAGTCAGTCACGCTTAGTTCGCATTGAAGTAACGAGCAGTGCAATGGAAAAGCTTTTCGTTGAGCATCCTGTGCAACTTCGGCTTTCTCTCGGGCAATGGGATCGCTTGGGGGTGCTGAAATACGAAAAATGGCTGGGTGCCAAAATTAGATGTAAGCTGTAGTGTGTTATATTGCTATCACTCGAAAGTAAGTAATTAGTTATTCTTCCGTACTCTGTGACCATAGTTCGAGTACAGGCAACTGTATGTTCATATATGGACTGTTGAACCCATTCCGGACATACAATAGGTGGCTAGATGACCAAGCTAGGTTGTTTTGTAGACTGAACCATCTGAATTGTGTATGTGTTGCACTCTACAGTCCATTCAGAAAAAAATGAACTTCTAGCTTTTGGCCATAAATGGGTCAAACGTTGAGTTTTTTTAGAATTTTTTCTGCAATCCTCTATGGAATCCTCTTCCAATTATGTTTCTGAAGTTTTTTTCTCCAAAAAGCAAGCCATAACAAGAATAGGATTTCGGCCAGGTTTTGCCCCCAAAGCATTGAATTGGGAAAAACCATAAAAATCCAGGCCGTTTGACCCTGTCTGCAACAGTGCATTGTGCGGTTCGAACCCCAGTTCAGGTACCCTTTTTGGACCCTTTTTCAAATTTCAAATTTCGCAGCACTGCACTGTGTACGATGAAATCACTAAAAATCGCCAAATACGGGAGCTCGCCAGAGCCAGAGCCCATCTTTTTATGAATGGACTGTAGGCACATAGTGCAGCAGTACAGTAACACTAGGATTGTCCCAACACGTGGGGTTGTCCCATGTTCCTTATTCTCTGAGTCGCATTAGACAACGATTCAGGGTTCTTGCCAGAGGGGGTAGGGCTATAGGGGTGCTATGGGGTCTGCGACGGCAGAACTTCACATCGCGTGACGAACCCGTACACATCATTTTGTACCCTGTGCATGATAGATACAGGGTTGTACGCAACCCTGCTTTGCTTTGGGTTCAACTCTCTTGTGGTCACTTTGCACTTTCTGCCAGCGTAACCTATTGAACCATGTCACGTGATGTGAAGTTTCGTCGCAGCACTGGATAGATGTTACTGTATAAGCAGAAATATTCGTCTGGAATTTAATTTCGTCTTTTTCGTCCAAGGAGCTTTCGGACTAAATTAAATGTAGGACTAATGTCGATTTGCCCAGCTTTTCTATACACTCTTATGATCCATGGCTGAAATTTTCAACCGGACAAACTCCTTTTCTTTGGAGTTTGACGAAATTATTGACCGACGAAATTGTCTGCCTCTGCAGTATGCAGGTTGCACACTCTTGGGGGGTTATGTACTCTTGGTCATACCCAACCTGGTTTTAGTGCACATGTATTTCCGATGTATGGAGTGTTCTCAGATACATGTACGGGCACCGTTTCGATCCGGATGTACCCAGATAGGAGAGGTTTTTTGAATTCTTTATCCTCACGATGGCACCAGCGCCAATAACAGGTTCTACTATAGGTTGTTCTGTGCATAGACGCTGTAATACAGTCACTGTTGGATACTCGTGATAGCCACTTCAATACAGTAGGGCGGCAGGTGTTTGACAGGTCGGCTGCAGTTCGTTGCGTCAGCGATCTCTGCGTGTTTGCTGGCAGCTCGGTGCAACGTTTCTCTTTCCGGCAATTCCCACTGGCTGCATTCTTACGTCTCCAATGTAGTCACCGCCTGGCGCATTCGTATTTCTCCAACGCAATTGCCGCCTGTACATTCGTGTAATATCTGTTGCTAGAATATGTAGATGGCAATTGTGTATTGGTGACATGGCACATGTCGTCACCATCCTGCACAGCGTACGGTGTTGTTATCCAAGCCGTACGTCATGTGTCCTTGTGTCTCGGATAAGGGGCATAGCTGGTCCCCCTTTTAGGGGGGGGGGGGGGGTGCACGGCCGCATATGTGTAGGATGCCTGGTTCGTGTCATTCATGGTCATTGTGTATATGTGAATATATCAACGTGTACTTCCTCTGGGAACGAAAGCTGTGTAACTTTGATCGACCTGTCCGTTCTCTGTTCAATCGAGCAATGCTGAGACTAACTGACACTCAACCGGCGCCAATCTGATTTGTATGAAAGTGTACACACTTCTTTGAAACTTCACATCAGGGAGTAACAATTTTATATTAAAATATACCGACCATTTCGTGATTCTGTTCTAGTTATGTTGACCCAAAAGCAGAAAATGTCGATCTTGGGCTAGTGCTTGAACCCATAAATGGAACAAGTATTGACTAGTCTTCAAACGCCCCCTAGAATGCCCTGCCTCCATTAAACAGCACATGACCCAAATATGGCCTCGTTCGGCCATATCCTGCAGGAGTGGGTTCCAAGACGATGCGTGTGCACGAACTAGTTGTGCGCTATGCAGGGCCTAGGGATGATGTCTGCATGACGTCACCATTGTATCGTTATTTGGTGTGTATAGAGTCACACACTACTCGACACTGGTAGTACATGTAGTGCCGTAAAGTACCGTTGATCCCCCCCCTCCCCCCCCCCCCCCCCACGCCATGTCGCTTCCCAGCTGGGTTTTCAGCAGGAGGTGGGAATAAGATCAAGGCTGTCAAATGCAGTACAATGTACAACAACGTGGAGGATCAGACGCGATGTGCATATTTTCATCCTGGATTGGCACGTATTGTGTATGCGTCGGCTCAACATCGTATTTCGTTGTATACGCCGAAGTCGCTTCACAGATAGAAAATCGACAGGGGGGCGGGAATTAGAGAGGGGCGGATCAACGGTACTTTACGGTGTCGTAGTAGTCAGTGTGGCTTGTCTTGTTCGCTATCGTTGCTATAAGAGAAAGCCTGTGGGTGCACATCCAGTACATTTGCAGATTTGCGTGCTTCTCTTGCGACGGGCGTATACATGGTACATGGTGTCGTTCTTCGACAAGTCACTCAACACGGCCGGCATGAAAGTCATAATATTCTCCAAAAACAGTGTATTAGGACCGTACATGGTCACATTCACAGCCACACGACGTCCTTGCACATGCTCCAACAGGGTATCTATCCCTGTACTCGCCCTGCTTCTACACACATCACTCTCTTATGCACGGCGTTACGGTGATCGAATCTACACACACACACCTCACATCACCTCAGACCTGCCCATCGCGGAAGCTGGAATCACACCACTCAACAGCTTCAAGCTGCTTGCAAGGCTGATCGCCACTAATTTTAGCCTGGTCTACACCACACAGCTGATTGAAGTGATTTTTTCTGGCCAGTAAATCCCTATTTTTCATTTTTCACGCACACGCACACACGTAAACAATGATGCCAGGGCTGTTTACCGGTGTTACTACGTAGAGTGTCGTGCTAATGAACCACTGGTCATCTACAGTGCATTTCAAAACTATAGACGCGTAGGGTTTTTGAAATATTTCAAATTTGGCTGGAACTTTTTGAGAATAGTTTTCGGTATATTGCTCAGGATCGCTCCACAATTACTCTCATATAGTTTCTAAAGGATTGGATAACAGACGCCCAATTTGGAAAAATTTATGCACAAAGTGATCACAGATTTTATGTGGTATAGATGCTGGCATAACGGTTTTTGCCTAGGTACGCGTCTATAGTTTTGAAATGGACTGTAGCTGTGTACTGCTTCAGTGAGGACTGTCCACCAAGCATTGGATTTGGTTCCCATGTTTTGTGCCGCGTCACTGAATACATGCACATCATTCAGCGCCTTTGTGCTGAGCTGAAAAGTCGACGGAGTACGGAACCATACAGTTTTGAGAAAGGGGAGTCTAGTGCATGAGCATGCACTGTAAACTGTGCATCATGATCATGTCGGGATGTTCACGACTTCCCTACAGCGCCTGGTGTGCAAGTACACATGCTCACGGAGCAAACGTATACACATACACCCACTGTTGAAGTTTGATTTTGCGCTTGTTCGCACCTGCGTAGCGCACTCCTCGCAGAGATTACGAGCATCTGTAGAATACAAAGTACAGAGAGGCATTAACAGTGGCACACCACTGTGTCCACTATACTCTTAACCTGGCTCCAGCTCTTTCTATCTCAATTGCCCGTATGCGAACTTATCATGAATTGTCCTCTCTGCACTGTGCAAACGCGTTCTTGTGTGCATGTGTGGGTGTGGATGTGTGTGGGTGTGGGTGTGTGTACATGTCTATGTGCATGTCTGTGTGCATGTGCGGGTGAACTCCTGGCTGTGCCCATTGCAGCTGGCGAAAAGGACAAGGTAGCACGATGCAATAGCGCGGGTAGTATTTACTCCCTCCGCAGCTTCTTAGAACCAGGCATGTTTGATGAAGGCAGCAGAAGCACCTTCGAAAGCCATATAGAGACCGAGGACACAGCAACACCAAAGCCCGAAGTTGTGTCCGGCTGGGCCTTATCTCTCAAGAACCTCCTGACCGACCCGAATGGATTGCCCATGTTCCTGGTAAGGGCATGCATCTACAATCAAGGATGCATAACCAAGAACGTGCAGTTCGACGATCTCTCTGCCCGATACAGAATTTATTTATGATATCAGTGGCCATTTGGCTCACAGATGCCTTCATGCATAGCCTTACTTGTAGATCAAAAGGGCAACAATTGTGTACATCGCAGCTACTACATAAGTCGAAGCAGAACAACGGACAATAGATCTATAGAGCCTGAATCTGATACACTGGTACCATATTAACATGATAAGCGCTGAAAAGCATGCATACTTCGTAGTACTTCTGCCACAAAAATGACCCAAAAAAGAATTCTGTAGTGTGTGAGCCCATGGCAGCTCAACCTATTATGGGCTGCACATTCTTGGTTATGTACTCACCCTACAGTATGTACACATTTGTATGTAAAGTTCACAGTGCCAGCGCTGTGCAGTCAGCGTTGCCTGCAGCACCATTCACACTGCAACCTAGCTACCGTTTGTCATAGTTTGTTGCATGAAATATCATTGCACTGTAGCCTACGCTGGATATCTATTTCATAAGCCACTGGTGTAGCTCTCATGCACCCTCACCTATTCCTACTGGTTCATGGCGTGCTTCGGGAACCAGAATTGAATGTTTTGCTAACTTTGTTGTCAAAGATGATACCCATTATGTACAGCCGGTTTGCCGGAAGCCACTTTGAATGATATAATCGCTATGCGCCTCTGAACTTTGCATTTTTGGGTGTATGTCTGTCTGTCTACATGTGTATGCATGTGGCTATTACTCTCTCTCTCTCTCTCTCTCTCTCTCTCTCTCTCTCTCTCTCTCTCTCTCTCTCTCTCTCTCTCTCTGTGTGTGCATGTACATAATAGTCTTGGGTGCACATACATGTCTTCCATTTTGATGATGGTTTTCTTCTATCTGTTGTGTTCAGAAATACTGCACACAACTTCTGTGTGAAGAGAATCTGCTCTTCTGGCAAGCAGTTGAGGATTTCCGTAACGCTGGGTATGCGGAGGAGGAGGTTAGTACTGGCACAGTTGGTGCTGCTGATGTTGCTATTAATTGCTGATTGTGTTCCTGCTGATGATACTGTAGTGTCACTGGCACTCACTGCTGATGGTGTGGATTCTGCTAATGGTGGCACTACTGATGGTGATGGGAAAGCTCTTTTTCACTGATGGTGATACTCCTGCTGGTCATGGTGTCACTGCCGATGATGTCACTACAATCAAACGCGTCTTATACAACGCCTCAGATAAGGGCACGTCTCTCTACCGGGCACCTTTAGCTTGAGTTCCTATAGCACATATGCTTCGAAATTGGGGGGTTTGATTCGAACTTTTGAACTTTTTTCCGTCTGTGGAAGTGCTTATTTTTCACTGCCAACCTGTCATCCACATATTTTTATCAATGTGTTCCCTTTGTATCCTGAACATGTGCAATACGTTCCAAATAAACTTCTTCAAAAATGATACTTGGTCCGCGTCAGCAATATTGTCGCTTATCTTTCGACAATATGAACTTAGACTTTGGACATCAGCGCGTGCACTTGAAGTGATAAAACTTGGTACGATGGACGGTAAGGTATAGAATGACAACTAGCTGCGAGGAATTTTTTGTCCAAGGAAGGGTTCCTACTTTTTTCGGTCCTCCTCGTCGCTGCTCTCGGCGCTGGTGACAAATATTTTTGCTCGGGATCGACTCTCTTGCTTTTGCAAGCTCATCTCTCTTCCTCTCCGCTGCCTGGCTATTTTCTAAAGAGAAGTCGATCGTGACGGTCGCCTTCTCTATAGGACTTCGCGTGGGCAGCACGACAGCCTGTGTGGTTCAAATCAGACGCCGTTCTTTGCAAGATTTTATTTTGAACGACGACGACGAGTACAGTACTTGCAAATCTCCACGACGCGCTGGATACTCCGAGCGTTGAGCTGGAGGTAAAGGAGCTGCGATTTCAGCTTGATGAGCGATCCCTGAGGTGAGCGATCTCGGCCGTTCAGCAAAATGGAGCTGATTCCGAGTAGACGATTACTTTCTTGTGGCTTGCACTGCTCTTGCCTGCACAGCGTAAAAAGATATCTATTAATTTTTGATGCGGCGCTGTATCAATCAGAATCACCCACCCATCGCTCTCGAAATCCACTCGAACTCTAGCTAGACCTTTCAGGTACTAGCAAACTAACTTGCTAACCAAAATTGGGATGAAATGGGCTGCCAAGTAAGCATTGGCGACATATAAACAAAGCTGAAAGATAAGCGACAATATCGCTGACGCGGACCAAGTATGATACATGGTAGATGAGTTAGGGCGCGTTCAGACTACCGATAAAAAGTGACCGATTGGGAAAGTCGCCAAGGTGATTTGATCACGTGACGTTACTGGCACGTTACCGGTGGGAAAGTTTTACTGCCGCGGCTGCTGCGGCAGTAAACTTTTACTGGCAGTAAAAAAGTGCTCAGGCTGCATGCGCGCTGCGAAAAAAAGGGAAAATCCCTTGTCAGTACCGCGGTGAGAGCTGAAAACTTCACGGTAACGTTAGTTTGTTATCGGTAGTGTGAATGTCCTTCGCGGTTTATCGGCATTCACGGTTTGACGGGGTTCACGGTAGTCTGAACGCGCCCTGAGATACGGGCAGTGCCCGGTCCCAAGGTGCCCGGATAAGCGAGACGTCCGGGTGTACTGCTGGTGGTGGTATTACTGCTGGTGATGACATCACTGCCTGTACCTGTGGCCTGTGCAAGCTACAGTGCTGGCCAGAGAAATCCAACCTCATGAATATAGTAGCGCCGCGTTCGAGTGCACAGACCAGTGTGTGTAGTGCTAGGGCTGCGTAGCGCCCGGCACTATTTTATTCATGAGGTTGGATTTCTTTGGCCAGCGCTGGTATGTCTCTGCATGAGAATTGCCAATTGGCATCTGACAGAGATGCCTGGCAGTCACACTGTGCATCTACTGCTTACACAGCTGCATAATGCCGCTTATTATTTTTATTTTTTATTTTACCATTATTATTTTTTCGGCAACACAGACGATGATGATGATGATGTAGTTGCCAACAAGCTGGTGTGGCTATGCTGATTGAGCAATGTATACTGCCGTTATCACCACTGTGTTTGCATGTATAGTATGCGTATGTGCATATCTATTATGTCATGTATACACGTGTAGCTCTGTAGATTGTAGGTTCATTTATTGGTGTGTGTATGGCTGTATGGCTGTATGTGTGTGTGTGTGTGTGTGTGTGTGTGTGTGTGTGTTTGTGTGGCTGTATGTCTGTGGCTGTGCTGGTACAGGTTCAATACGTGGGCAAGAACATCTTCAGTGACTTCATACACCATACTGGCAAACACCAGGTCAATCTCAACAGTAAGACATCCAAGGCTGTCAAGGCACGGGTGAAAGAGCAAGACATCACGCTCGATATGTATGACGCCTGTCAGACCGAGGTAGGTGTCATCATGTCTGAGTTTTACGAATGGCGCCATCAATTATAGCCGTGGTTGGCTCTGGCCATCCCGGCAAGAAGGCAGATATGCCTGTTCGATTGGTGAATAAAAATAAAAATACCACATAATAATTATGGAGACTCCCTGGCATTAGGCTAAGGCCTATGGCGAATCCGTTATTATATATACAAATACAAATAATCGATGTGGAGACAATCTTAAAATAGCAATAAAAAGAACAACTTCAGCCGTCATCACTGCACAACATAGAAGTCATGAAGCTAGTAAGCTACAGTTATGCTCGATGCAAACCGACCACAAGTGCAAAGCTGGTGCCCTGGATTAGTTCTGCTTACATCATTGTATTTGTACTTGTGTGTGTCCAGCCGCATTCATGCCACCTCCAGGGCGGCAAGGGCATGCTAGTTGAGGGCGCCAAGCATGCACTCTGGGTCAGATTTCACCGAGCGCAACTGTAGTCCGCCCCTGTCTGATGTACTATGTTTGTACTCTGCGACGTAGTACAATGTACAGTTGTTGACGTAGTACAATGTACAATGTACAGTTGTTGACGTAGTACAATGTACAGTTGTGCTTGGTGAAATCTGACCCAGAGTGCATGTATGGTGCCCTGGACTTGCACGGCCATTGACGGCCTGGAAGTGGCACGATTGAGGCAGGACGTACACATGCACAAATACAATGATGTAATCGAAACTGGTCCATGGTGCCAACAGCTTCGCACTTTGTGTGAGATTTCAGTGAGGGCAACTGTAAGTACCGTGTCAGGGTGATGTCCTTGACAGTTTGGACCATGGCTCTTGTCATCCTGTGTAGCAAGAAGGACCCGTGGGTGTGCGTGTGTGGGTGTGCATGTGTGTGTGTGATCCCCAGGAGCCTAATCATTAGGGCACTGTCCCGGAAAGGCAGGGGTGCTGGGTTTGAATCCCGCTTGTGGATCCTTCTTTTGCAACGCTTGACTAACCCTCACCTGGCCGTGCGTGGTTGTTGGCCTGCTCTCTTTGTACAGATCTTTGAGCTGATGAAGACAGACTCCTATCGCAAGTTCTTGCAGAGTGATGCATACAAGGATGTTCTTTGTTTGGAACTGGATGGCAAGACACTGCCCTGGGAAGAAGTGGATGAACCGTCCGCGCATAGTCGCAGGGTAAGTACATATCACTCATTGTCCCTTTGTTCTATCTTCTTGTTAATGTTTTTTTTAACTTTATTACTGGTTAGGGCCCTAACACACTACGTACATGTAAAACGCAACTAACTTGAGCATACGTTGCGTATCCGCCAGCCTGATCAAGTGCAGTTGCACACTGACAGGTGATCAGCTTTTTACGTATTCATTGCCATGGTAGCCTTGTGGCTGTGGGAAATTCAACAAGAAAATGTGGTGCAGTTCGATGAAAAATTTTGCTCTCAGAATGAGTGCATGCTGTGTGTTCTTCTTCGATTTTGTTCTGCATCTTTCGTGTTGGAGCCATGCCCATAGACCTCAGGTTGACTCCGGCAAGGAGAAAGAGACGACGTAAAATTGTTGCCGCCATGATGTTGCAGGACCTGCAGAAGCTAGTGAAGTCGTCTGATGGCGGTCCTGTTCTTGATATTTTCAAGATGACTGATCACAGTTGCTCAAATTTCATGGGCACGACGATGTTCAGCATGCTGTTGCGGAATGGTACCGTCCAATACAGAATTGGCCGCAACTTGTGGACAGCTCACCCTGAGAACGAGTTTGGAACGCCCTGTGGATTTTGGGAGAAGGAGGTTTTGGGGACATGGGAGCGTGCCAAACTTCAATCTATCGACAGGTGGAGGACTGCGTGGATTGCGAATTTTCGCATGGAGCAGAAAACATTTAGCTTCTTCTCCAAAGATATCGCCACCTGATCATGAAGCAAACAACGCATCTGAGACGAACCATCTCCCCTGGCAAGCGCCTGGCTATTCTATTGTACTACCTCGGCCAGGGTGAAACGTTCTCAGAGATTGGTGCACTGTTTCACGTAGGAACGACTACTGCCAGGGCCATTGTACATGAGTTGGTTGAGTCCATGGTTGCACCACTGACTGCAGACAGCATAGTATTTCCAGTCGGGGAGCAACTGCAGCGCACAATGAGACGCTTCGAAGAAATGAGCACTTTGCCGCTATGCTGTGGTGCTGTTGACAGCACATTTATCCGCATGGTGAAACCAGAAGATTACGGAGATTCGTATTGGTGCTATAAGCAGCATTCGGCTATTCTTCTCCTGGCATGTGTGGACTCCAGAGGCCTGTTCACATTTGTGGACATTGGCGCACCTGGAAGTGTTGGTGATGCCGCTGTATTCAATGGCAGTGCTCTGAAGGCCAAGCTGATTGCTGGAGAATGGGGAAACTTTGCGTCGTGGCAATGCAATGGCAAGACTGTGAGGCCGTTTCTGGTTGGAGACAGTGCCTTTGCATTGAGTCCAGTTCTGATGAAAATCATCGCTGGAGACAACGTCACTCCCGCTGCAGAAAGCTTCAACTACACGCAGATTCGAACTAGGCGTGTTGTTGAATGTGCGTTCGGCCGGCTGAGGGAGAGGTTCAACGTGGTGCATGAGACCAACTCCAATGATCCACAGTTTGTGAGCAAGGCAGGTCTAAATTGCTGCGCACTCCACAACATCATTGAGCGACGTCATCTTGGCCACTTGCCGTGCTACCGGAACTATGCACCAACGCCACTGCTTGAGATGCATTCATCATCCGGAGAAGACATGCGGAATGCGTTGGCAACCTATGTGCATTCACTGTGATGTTCTTAGTTATTTTGTTTGTTGTGGTTTCTTGGGCTATTCATTCACTTTTGTTTATCAATTAAATTTGTTGGTGCAAGTGCAGCGCTATGTGTTTATGATTCCCTTTTTCTAAATTGTGTATATAGCAATTTGGGGTGCTATTTTCTATATTATACTGATTGTACAGTAGTACTTTGGAAGAAGATGGTGGTCTGACGTCAGGTGCCATTCACGTACCTTGAAAACAGCTTTGCCGTGACATTGTGCTGAACAGTCTGGATCATGCTGCGGGTAGAATCGAAAACTATAATGATACATGTAGTCGAATGAAAGTTTGTTATCTCTTGATGTGCTGTATGTCTTTCACCCTTGTAGTTTTGTTGAAGATTATTAATTTTATTCCTTGATGACAGTCTGTCTGCACTCTAATTGTGCAGCGAAACACAATTACGTACATGTATTTTGGTTGGCTGGCTCGTCCAACTTCAGCAGACATTCCGTGCAATTTTTTTCTGAAGCCAGTGAAGGAAGGTGACAATGGGTTTGACACAGAGAAATCTGACATATTATTCCATTGTAATCCGGCATGTTGGCCACGACCCGAGGCCTGGTCTTTGTTTCTGAAATGAAGTGAATGAAGATATTCAAGGTAGATCGGGACAGCACTTTCTGCTTGTACACAACCAGCATACCACAATGATCAGTGCCAATTTAGTAGTTGAATTTACAATGCAAACACATTAAGGCAAGAGTCCAAACTGAAGGATATCACCAGCAACTTATCCATGAAGTAAATAACTATGCCTACCTTCCGAAAGTAACACAATACAAATGCAAACAGGGTGCAGCGCATGCTTTTAGCTTCGACATGTTTATCACAGAAGATCCAAGGTGGACAGTGGATGCACAAAAAAGCAAAAGTGGAGCATGAACAGGCCATAGTAGAGCATGTCCATTGCAGCGAAAGACAACACCGGAATGCGATCGAGAGTATCAAAAAGTCCTTGACAAGAAAAGAAAAACAATATGATACATTGTGCACATGGTCCGAATTTTACTTGTCGTCATCAAATAGCTTCTTCAGGAAGACCATCTGACTTTGGACAAGTGCTTGCATATGCTCCCGGTTCTCTCTTACGATGCCTGCAACGAAGCGGTGCTGATTCTCCTGCAGCTTCAACTGTGTGTCAGACACCCTGTCCACCATGCGCATTCCAACATCCTCAATAGAGGTGACATCAGGTGGTGGAGCACTCGATCTCTTCTTCTTCTTCAATGGTCCAATGGGCACGTCATCGTCTTCGTCCATGTCGTCCTCCAGGATACGTGCTCTGGTTTTCTCACCAGGCCTGTACGTGGGTGTGCATGCTGGCGTTGAACTTGCCGTCGCCCCTGCTGGTGAACTTACTGCATGCTGCATGGTGTCTCCGACGATATCATTGTCGCTGTCGTCGCCGCTCACTCTCATCCGTGGGCGGGATGCTAACGACGATGATGGCGACGGTGATGAAGACAACAACGATGACGACGACGATGACGGCAACAATGATAGCGACCGAGACACTGCACTTGCGTCATGACTAGTGGGTCGTGGTGGGTGTTCATCCGGTATGCCAATGGCACTTTCAGAACGACTGGCCTGTGAGATGAGGCTGCCGCCACCACTGATAATCGGCGGATCGACATCAGGTATAGACACAGAGGAGATGCTCCTGAGTGGGCCGAATCCAGGCACATGTCTAAATAGCCGATGCCACGTCCTGAAGTTGGCCCAGCTCGCATACGCTCCTTCTAGGTCAACCTCTCCAGTCACAGCGCTGCCAGTTGTTGCCGACTGGAATTTGCGATACAAATCTTTGGCCTTCGATTTCAGATTATCGATCTTGTTGTGGATTATCTTCCCGTTGAAGTCCACAGATTTTCGGCATCGTGTCACGCTCAGCAAGCAAACAAGATCGAGTCTACTACGCCTTGAACAACACGAGTTCAAGTACGAGAATTTCAGAAGCAGGCGAAAAGTGCAATGGACAGCTGAAATTGAAACACGGAAATCCACACAGCACCAAACAGCAAAAACACCAACAAGAAGCTGAAGTCCGAAAGCGCGGGAAGGCATAAAAGCTAAAAAAAAAAGCTAAAATGCAGCCTTCTACACCCGTCCGAGATCTGAGTAAAACGTTTACGCAACTTTTTAGATTTCACGCCATGTGACATCAGTCGACATGGCAACTTTTACAGGAACGCAACAAAAAAGCGATTTTCTACGTAGTGTGTAAGGGCCCTTAGGCTCTCATGGTGTGTGGTATACTTTTTCCAAGAGTACATGAAAACCAGAGTGTGCAGCTCGGATGGGTTGCTGCAAGAGTACGTACATAACCCCCCAGAGTGTGCAACTCCCACATACCCTGCTGTCCCGACAGAATTTCAAGTTGACGTCATTATGTATGACGCAATGCTCCTTGCACCAGTGATTTACAACATGTGTACGGGTGTCAATGCATCACACGTTTTTCTTTGCAATAATTTGTACAGGATCGATGGGCTTCGGTCAACTACAGGTTCCGGATTCGTCTTATAATCCGTGTACAGTGCGCATTGCATCATCAAAATGACGTCAACTTGAAATTCTGTCGGGACAGCACTAGGCCTGTCCGAAAAATGTGTTTTAATTTGCGGAAAATGGAAATGCAAAATGCACGGTTTTCCAGCCAACATTCAAACAAGAAATCAAAGAGGAATGCAAAAAACCAAACAACCCAAAACGCAGAGAAAATGCATCCGTTGCCATGGCAACCAGAATCTAAAATGGCCGCCATGCCGTGGTGATCACAAAAATAGTGACAGTCACTATTATTTTCCGTGTCACACTGTACATGTATACATGTAGTATCCCTGCCTTGCTAGTACATGTATCTCTAATCATGTCACGTGTACATGTACACGCACTGCATGATCATAATCTTGTCACCCATTTTGCTGACAAGCCTGCAAAGCTAATCATTTTCTCACCATTGCAAGTCACTTGTGTTGCCCTTGCATACTACCTAGTACCTGTTCCACACATGTACTACTACTACTAGAACACATCTTTGTACAATCATGTAGTTTTACATCATCACACCTGCATGTACATGTAGAACTAAACACCCATGTGTTCGCATTTGTGTGATTAGGAGGCCAGTGCAACTGCCTCTCTCTAAGTCTAGAGTCTCAGCCAAGAGGGACAGTACAGAAGACACCGAAATAGCAAGCCGAACTTGACTTGGTCGAGCTGAAACCTTGGCTGAAACCTTGGAATTCGACCGAAAATGGGCAAAATTCAGAAAAAATGCAAAAATGCAAAATGTACCCCAAAATGCAAAAAAATTCAGAACATTTTTCGGGCAGGCCTAGACAGCACCCATAGTCGAGTTGCACACTCTGGGGGGTTATGTACTCTTGGTTGCTGTCACGGCGAAATTCCGTGATTACATCATTTTAGCGATGTAGTGCGTACAAGCAGGATTCAAGCAGGTCTCTTTCTGCACAACTGCAGCTCAGTTGTACGCACTACGCCACTTCCCGCCTCAGATCTGGGCCAAATATGATGTAATCATGGAATTTCGCCGTGACAGACACCCACAGCAGAAAAGGCCCCAAGCTGCACACTCTGGTTTTCATGTACTCTTGCTTTTTCTTAAACATTTCAGTACCTACAGTCTCCATGCCGACGTGGTGTGAAATATCACCTGACCTCATGAATAACACAGTCCCAACGGTAGTGCGATGTCCTAGCACAAACTTACGAGTCTGATGGAGTGCAGTGGAACTAGTGCTCATCCACGCGTGCTTTGGAGGTTTATTCCACCAACAACAGCCAGGTTTGGCATCGATTTTATATGCAGACATGCTCGTCCTAAAGGCGCTTCTGGTTAAATTAGAATCCAGTTTTCGAGCCTAAGTTGGGTTTGGACGGGCCAGAGATCAATTGACCTGTACAACACTGACTGTCGGGGACTGGCTGCTACACTGTACAACACTGACTGTCGGGGACTGGCTGCTACACTGTACAACACTGACTGTCGGGGACTGGCTGCTACACTGTACAACACTGACTGTCGGGGACTGGCTGCTACACTGTACAACACTGACTGTCGGGGACTGGCTGCTACACTGTACAACACTGACTGTCGGGGACTGGCTGCTACACTGTACAACACTGACTGTCGGGGACTGGCTGCTACACTGTACAACACTGACTGTCGGGGACTGGCTGCTATACTGTACAACACTGACTGTCGGGGACTGGCTGCTACACTGTACAACACTGACTGTCGGGGACTGGCTGCTACACTGTACAACACTGACTGTCGGGGACTGGCTGCTACACTGTACAACACTGACTGTCGGGGACTGGCTGCTACACTGTACATGTAACAACAATGATTGATGCTGTCGTTATACCTGTACTCGAGCTACTTCAAATAGTCATCAACAACGTGCCAACACACCAGTACACCGATACCGTACATGTAATACACAAACATGCTCATACACCAACATACCAATGCACCCATACACCAACATACCAATGCACCCATACACCAACATACCAATGCACCCATACACCAACATACCAATGCACCCATACACCAACATACCAATGCACCCATACACCAACATACCAATGCACCCATACACCAACATACCAATGCACCCATACACCAACATACCAATGCACCCATACACCAACATACCAATGCACCCATACACCAACATACCAATGCACCCATACACCAACATACCAATGCACCCATACACCAACATACCAATGCACCCATACACCAACATACCAATGCACCCATACACCAACATACCAATGCACCCATACACCAACATACCAATGCACCCATACACCAACATACCAATGCACCCATACACCAACATACCAATGCACCCATACACCAACATACCAATGCACCCATACACCAACATACCAATGCACCCATACACCAACATACCAATGCACCCATACACCAACATACCAATGCACCCATGCACCAACATACCAATGCACCCATACACCAACATACCAATGCACCCATACACCAACATACCAATGCACCCATGCACCAACATACCAATGCACCCATACACCAACATACCAATGCACCCATACACCAACATACCAATGCACCCATACACCAACATACCAATGCACCCATACACCAACATACCAATGCACCCATACACCAACATACCAATGCACCCATACACCAACATACCAATGCACCCATACACCAACATACCAATGCACCCATACACCAACATACCAATGCACCCATACACCAACATACCAATGCACCCATACACCAACATACCAATGCACCCATACACCAACATACCAATGCACCCATGCACCAACATACCAATGCACCCATACACCAACATACCAATGCACCCATACACCAACATACCAATGCACCCATGCACCAACATACCAATGCACCCATACACCAACATACCAATGCACCCATACACCAACATACCAATGCACCCATACACCAACATACCAATGCACCCATACACCAACATACCAATGCACCCATACACCAACATACCAATGCACCCATACACCAACATACCAATGCACCCATACACCAACATACCAATGCACCCATACACCAACATACCAATGCACCCATACACCAACATACCAATGCACCCATACACCAACATACCAATGCACCCATACACCAACATACCAATGCACCCATACACCAACATACCAATGCACCCATACACCAACATACCAATGCACCCATACACCAACATACCAATGCACCCATGCACCAACATACCAATGCACCCATACACCAACATACCAATGCACCCATACACCAACATACCAATGCACCCATACACCAACATACCAATGCACCCATACACCAACATACCAATGCACCCATACACCAACATACCAATGCACCCATACACCAACATACCAATGCACCCATACACCAACATACCAATGCACCCATACACCAACATACCAATGCACCCATACACCAACATACCAATGCACCCATACACCAACATACCAATGCACCCATACACCAACATACCAATGCACCCATACACCAACATACCAATGCACCCATGCATCAACATACCAATGCACCCATACACCAACATACCAATGCACCCATACACCAACATACCAATGCACCCATGCACCAACATACCAATGCACCCATACACCAACATACCAATGCACCCATACACCAACATACCAATGCACCCATACACCAACATACCAATGCACCCATACACCAACATACCAATGCACCCATACACCAACATACCAATGCACCCATACACCAACATACCAATGCACCCATACACCAACATACCAATGCACCCATGCACTAACATACCAATGCACCCATGCACCAACATACCAATGCACCCATACACCAACATACCAATGCACCCATGCACCAACATACCAATGCACCCATACACCAACATACCAATGCACCCATGCACTGGCGCACTAACATACCGACACACCAACACATCCAGACAGCGGTGCTGTGATGGCACTTCATACCACCCTTCCCCCTTGTTTCTCACCACCCGCACTATTCATATAGCTTCATCTGCATTGACAGCTTTGTGTTCTTTTGCTTTACTTCTTCCTATGCTTCCTGGCTGCTACCCACTGTTTGTTGCCCTTTTGCAGAAAGGATTTCTCAGCTTCTTGCGCAAGGATAAGCGAAAGTTTGGAAGTGGGCTGGCCGCAAGCGATGATAAGAAGTCATTTGACACGGCAAGCAATACGGACTCACAGCTCACCACTCTCGGCCGCATGGACAAGAAATTCCACATCCGCACAAAGTCCTCCGCCAGCCAGCTACTCCGACAGGAGCCACCCCAAGATTCAACAAAGTGAATCTGCGTAAGAGCTTAGCTCCATCATTAGGGTGGAGCTCAGAAAACATCCGTGCGTGCATGCTGCATGAAACCACGTCATTAACTGTATCGCAGCCCGGGCACCCGGGAAATTGTGCCGTGATATTCGGGCATATGAGTGCGGTGCCAGCCAATTCCATCCCTCGTGTTCCTCTGCCCCTATCGCCCTGCACTAGTCACAGCATGAGTCTGTTGACCACCTGCAGCATGGCTTCACAGCTGACTGGGGAGCTAACGTGTTAGCAGATGGAGACACCGTCATACCCTCCAGGTGCTATTCTGCACTGCAGGAATTCAGCTTTGGGTCGAGTGGATGTTCTTCCCATCGGTCTTGGTGATCGAATATATGCCGCTGTTTACAAGTGGGCGCTGCCTTCGTTTTCTCGCTGCCGCAAGCTGCTGTTTCCCTCGCACCGTGTATTTACGCATGGCAACACCTTGGTGAGGCATCTCTATGTCTGCCGTCATCTCAACTTCTTGGGATCTTCTCTAGCTCTCTCTCTCTCTCACTCTCTTCCTCTCATTCTCTATCTCTCGCTCCCTCTCTCTCTCTCTCTCTCTCTCTCTCTCTCTCTCTATCTCTCTCTCTCTCTTTCTCGCTCTCTTTATCTTTTCCTCTCTCTCTCAATCTTTTCCTCTCACTCTCTATCTCTCTCTCTCTCTCTCTCTCTCTCTCTCTCTCTCTCTCTTTCTCGCTCTCTTTATCTTTTCCTCTCTCTCTCAATCTTTTCCTCTCACTCTCTATCTCTCTCTCTCTCTCTCTCTCTCTCTCTCTCTCTCTTTCTCGCTCTCTTTATCTTTTCCTCTCTCTCTCAATCTTTTCCTCTCACTCTCTATCTCTCTCTCTCTCTCTCTCTCTCTCTCTCTCTCTCTCTCTCTCTCTCTCTCTCTCTCTCTCTCTCTCTCTATCTATCTATCTATCTCTGTATATCTCATTTTCATTTTGTACCGGATGCCATTTCTATTTTTGGTTTTGTTTACTATTACTATACCGGTGTGTGTGCCGCTTGTTTATGATCGTTTAGTTTGCTTTCCCTCGTGTAGGCTATGAGATCGAAAAGCTGTGTCCGCTGCTGTCGCTGCTTGCATCTTGTCTGCCAGAAGGACCTTGCTGCTGCTGCTACTGTTGCTTTCCCTCGTGTAGGCTATGAGATCGAAAAGCTGTGTCCGCTGCTTGCATCTTGTCTGCCAGAAGGACCTTGCTGCTGCTGCTACTGTTGCTTTCCCTCATGTAGGCTATGAGATCAGGAAGCTGTGTCCGCTGCTGTCGCTGTTTGCATCTTGTCTGCCAGAAGGACCTTGCTGCTGTTTATGTGATTCTGGCATTTTTTGTCTTTGGGCATGGTATGTATGCTCCCCATCACCTGTACAGTGCCAGTACAGTGCACCAGGCTTACGCTGCCGACGATATGTTCTAATGTAGGGTTTTGCACTGCGTACTCTCTCTCTCTCTCTCTCTCTCTCTCTCTCTCTCTCTCTCTCTCTCTCTCCATTGTTCGTCTTGCCTCTCTCTCTCTCTCTCTCTCTCTCTCTCTCTCTCTCTCTCTCTCTCTCTCTCCATTGTTCGTCTTGCTCTAGCTGCGTTATGTCTTCCGTTCCTAACACCCTGGGTTTGTTTCCTCGTCCTCTTGTCATTGTGTACCTGTTCGTGGCTCAGCAGCGACCCCTTTGCATATTCACGTTATCTCTAGCTTCCGTAATACCATACACAAGAACATTCTCATCATCATCATTCATTACGGTTTTCTTGTTCCGGCTGAAAGGCGTTTGGGTGCAGAATATTTTTGACTTTTCCTTTGAATCTTTTGTGTCGCTAATCCTTGTCTGCAGTTTACCTAACTGCTTGCTTGCTTGCGCTTAAATTAAATGCCGTTGCTTCATCACGGTCAAATTTGCAACTCTACAATGTGGCTCGTGGCAACACAGATCACGACGAGACCAGTCGGCTCTGCATTCCGGTGCAAAGAAAAGTAATTCTATTTATGCGCCTTTTTTCGCATTCTGCCACTTCACATGTTAGATAATAATTATTGTTCTCCGCGTCTTTTAGATCCCTTACCTTTTAGTTGACCTGCATTGATTTTATCAAGTACTGACCAGTTGGTGCTGTGGAGTTCATTGTGTGTGTGTGTGTGTGTGTGTGTGTGTGTGTGTGTGTGTGTGTGTGTGTGTGTGTGTGTGTGTGTGTGTGTGTGTGTGTGTGTGTGTATGTGTGTGTGTGTGTGTGCGTGTGTGGAGGGAGAGGGGGCGACTTGATGCTGCAGGCAGCTGTTTGTTGAGCTATTGGGTGGGTGGCGTGTAGGCATGTGTCAGTGTGCTTGGTGGTGGGATTGATGTTCCAGACAGCTGTTTGTTGAGCCGCGTGTGTGTGAAGTTGATCAGTATGTCAGTTGTAAGCAACGGTACAGCAACCATGCACTGCTGCTGTACCAGTTTCGTGAGGAGCCCAATATAGATCCTTATGAAATGGAGACGTGCACGCACCAGCAGCCATGGGCATTCCAAAAGAAATCTTTGCAGTGACCTTGGCTATACGGTAATGCCGGTAAGAATTTAATGTTACACTGTCCCCGGGGAAAATTGCGATTCCACGGCAGCGTTTTTTGCGATTTTTTAAAAGACCGCGTTTTCCGCGATTTTTGAACTTTTTGTTGCACTACACGTACACACAGTGCACTGTTCGGTCAGCAACGTCTCATCGTGGCGGCTTTTTACTCAAATATGACGAGTGCTTACACCAGAGACTTGTAACTGATTGATTTCACAGTTTCACTACATACTCACTGAAAATTGCCGCACATCAATACACCGCATATTCACCGCAAATTCACCGCAAATTATGCCATATTATGCTGCGTTTTTTGCGATTTTTTCCGCAATTTTCCCCGGGGACAGGTTACACTGTAGTAAGGTTTCACCGGGCATGTATAACATGTAATTGCGCTGGCGCTGAATTTTTTTTTTAAATGGGATGAACCTGTTACTTGTGCTTGTGTCTTATGCGCACGACTTCAGACAATAGTCATGCATGAGCAAAGTCTGCTGTCAGTATTGATCTACACTCTAGAAATAAGAGTGCAGCAACCGTCCCTGCCAATGTTGACCATGCAACAACTGCGTAACACCAACACACCTGTAGTAGTGTCACCGACCGCCATGCCTACCCCCCCCCCCCCCCCATCTGTCTCTCAACTTTCTGGATCGGGACCCGACACCACTTGCAGTGTGGCCCAAAAGGACAGGACAGGTGCGGGCAGTGGGGTGACACCGACCTTGTACAGGCATACCCACACGCACGCACACACATACACACACACACACATATTCAAAGAATAAAATAACCGGGAGATGAGCCAAATTCTACTGCTATTGACTGTTGTTCTTGATGAACAAGCATGACCTTGATATCAGAGTGTCTGTCACCATTCTAGTATATAAATACTGAAAATATAAAATGAATGAATTTCGGCACTGCCAAGATACCACAATCTCCAGCAGATGTCTTAACTTAATAGCAGATCAAAGCAAAGCATAGATATAGTGGATTGAGGCGAGAGTATGTTGACCTTTCGGAGAAAGAAAGACACCTACAGTGGTTTTGTTGAGAACGAATGAACAGCCTAGTCTACGCAAACGGACCTCGCATGCAGATGTAATAATATCTGCCCTATTGATGTGCAGGTGCAAAACACACATACACACACACACACACACACACACACACATACACACACATGCGCACACACGCACACACATGCATGCGCATCTAGAACTTGCTCGAGAGAGGGCGACGGGACTAGAGGACCGGCCAGCCGACAAATATGAAGGTGAAAATCTGTACGTCCTACCAGGCATGCAGGCATCCACATGTGTGCACATGCACACACAATACAATGCACACATGCAAACCAGGTGGTTATCTTGAGAGAACAAAAATTCAAGTACCTATGCGGAAAACTGCCTGTAAAATATGGTCAAGAAATGGTTTCATCTTGCTCGGAATCCTCTCTCTCTCTCTGTGTTTCTGATCTCTGTCCAGCTCACAGATAAAGGGTTCAAAAGAAGGTACCGTGTTATGCCTACACACGGGGAGAGCTGCAGTACCGCATGCACACAAGTCACAACTCCCACACCCAAACACACATACGCACACACATGCACGCACACACGCACATACATACACACGTGACGTCTCCGCTCGCAGCGAGCCCAGCGGACGCCAGAGAGTGAGAGTGAGAGAGTGAGAGAGTGCCCACGATGACCAGGTGGTGGGCAGTGCAGTGGACTGAAGAGTAGCCTTCCTTGCCAACAAAACCGCGACACGAGTACACCTCCATTGCTCCTCAAGGTGGCAGAGCAGCGTGTGTGCCAGTATCCCAACAAACCAGCAGAACACACACCCACCGGTACATGACAACGGTGGAGTTGTCATCATGCGGCGTTGAGCTCATCGCATACACCGGTACAGACACCGGTACAAATATAGTACCTGCGCGCCGTATAAACTTTACTCGTCAAGCAATGGTCGTCTCTCCACGGAATTGATTGATTTACTGCACCAATAAAAAGGATGACACACACAGAAATACGTCACATGAGCGAGTTCACACCAAACAATAGTGCAAAGACCATGCAAAATGCAAATACACTAGCACCACTTAGCGTGTTATATTATCACCACCGCCACAGGCATTGCTGCCTTCTTGCTGTGGATCATGAATGATGCCACAGCTCCCAGGCTATGAGGGAAAGATACATGAATTGTACATGACTGTACTTACTCAGGTGATGGCGCAGTAACAGTTCCATAGTTGTTCCCTCTCTGGAAATGAATGTCAATCGGCTCCGTATCATTTTGCAGCTCTGCCCCTACAGTTGTGAACGGGTCCAAATACAGGTGCACAAACATACATATGCACGTGCACACGTGTGCATACATGCATGCACGCACGCACACACACACACGCACACACACACACGCACACACACACACACACACACACACACACACACACACACACACACACGCGCACACACACACACACACACAGACACACAGAGTTGGCGATCATCAGGCTAAGTTCTTGAGGAAAACCCCATACTGTACTGCACTACTATACTATACTGTACTGTACTGTACTACACATTCGAATGCAGCTGTACATGTACTATACAAGCAAGCAGATTCAGAGACAGACAATCAGACAAGCTGACAGTCCAAACTCCAAAACATCTAGTGACAGTTGTGCTGAATTTAACGAATCTTCTAGCGTGACCTTTACTGACATGCCATTGCAGGAAAATCAAGCTAGAGCTAGACAGCTAGCCATCCAGCCATCCAGCCAGTTAGCCATCCAGCCAGTTAGCCATCCAGCCAGTTAGCCATCCAGCCAGTTAGCCATCCAGCCATCCAGCCAGTTAGCCATCCAGCCAGCCAGTTAGCCAGCCATCTAACCAGCCAGCCAGCCAGCAAGCTAGACGACAAAGAGACAGACAAACGCACGGAGAGAAAGGAAGTAATACCAACTCACCAGAGGCCATAGCATTGTCCGCACGCTCTCTTATCACCATCCACACAAGAACCAGGAAGGCAAAGCACGCTGCACTGCCGGGAACGTACACCAGGATCTGACGGTAGTAGGACTCGCATGCTAGACAACACACCCTGCAATTGAGGCATGCAGTATC